AAGGTAACTATACATATAATTACTTAGAACCCCAATTAGGGTACTTGTAACTGAGTCTGGTGGGGCCTTCGGGTTCCTTAAAGGGATTTGAATAGGGTTCCTTCAAAGGGCCCTGTAAGGGTTACTATAAGGGATCTATAAATACTATAATACTATAATAGAATATGGGGAACTTAGGGGTCCTTAAAGGGATCTATAAGGTTCCTTTAAGGGATCTATCAGGCTCTCCTTTACGGGATCTATGGGTGCCAAAAGGGTTTGGGTTTAGGGTTTAAGAGGGGGGGTATAGTAGAAGCCCAAAACTTGGAAACCCCAATCGCCTCAATCCTTCAGAGTAATGTATAGTTAGGGAATCCCAGCACTATATAGCCTTATCCGGTTTCCAAATTTATGGTGTCAACTGTAATATTCAGAATAGGGTTTGGGGGTATCCTATACCATAGTCATAATCAGGAACCATCAGAGTAGTACAGGTAATTCTTTCGGCCCGTGTAGTATGTTTCTGTAAGGGGTCCTTAAACGTTTAGTTGCGCGTAGTTGGCAAGCATATTCTAAAAGTCTAAACGGTTCCTTAGAGGATCAGATAAGGGATCTATCAGGGTGTAAGGGTTTTGGGGTCTAGGGCTTAGCGCGTGTGCTTGGAGCATCGTGCGACCTACAGAAGGGCTTCTTCAATGCTTACCTTGATCCCTCAAAAAAGCTCACCAGCTACGCTTCCAGAGTGTGTGGTGCGTGGCTGGGACGCCGCAACGTGCACACCATGCAGTCTTGTGAGTGCGGAGCGGGTTTGGGCTTTGTATACCTGCTTTATGAATGTCTTAAGGCGTTTGCCGTTGTTTTGGAGGGTTTTACAGGGTCCATGCGACGTGGAGTTTTTAAGGCATGTTGGCGTCTTGGTAATACGAAAAAAGGGGAATCTGGGGCCCTTAAGGGTCTACTTGGAGGGGCTTTTGGGACTTAGTAAGGGCTCTTAAAGGGCTCCTTAAAGGGGTCTATAGGGTTCCTTAAAGGGGTCTATGGGGTTTAGGGTTTAGGGTCTACTTGGAGGGGCAGGGGACTTAGTAAGTAGGGTTATAAGTGGGGTAACTCCATTTAGGGTACTTATAACTCTACTTATACCATTTGGGCTTCAATATCCTGTGATACCATGCTGTGTACCGTCCTTGGACAATCCGGAGGCCAAAACGATACGAACGGCATTCCTTACAGTTCCCCAATACATCTCACATACTGGTAGTTTGATCTTACCCGCAGACCCTGTTCCGATCCTAAACTCCTACCCAAAGGGTCCTATGTACTGTTATGGGGGATACTTCCCTGGATCCTAATAGTAATTCCTAATATAGAAACCCTACATTCTACTATACAGGTACATAGGACCCTTTGGGCTACAAACCCATAAATCCTAGAGTGTTCGGGAACCCGAACCTTTTAAGGCTCGAAGCCCCAGGATCACATGTTGCACAGGTCTGCGGCTTTGAAAGTTTAGAGTTTCCAAGGATTTGTAGTTGTGAAAACCCTAAACCCTAAACCCTGAACCCTAAAAGTTAGGAGGTGAGCCAGGGATGAAAGTTGCATGATTGAATCATTGGTTTGTGGCAACATCGCTTTAGAAAACTTTACCACTGGCAGCTGGACCGACCCTGCAGCCTAGATCATGAGCCGTTTGAAGAGTGCTTGCTCTCGGTAGCTTACCCTGGAAACCCAACTGTACAGTGGGCTCATGCTCCTCACACTGTACAGCAAAACCTGAATCCTTAAACCCTAGCCCAGCGACTTGCTCCATACAGTGGATGGAGATATTGATATGGATTTAGATATAGATGTAGGTATAGATATAGATACAAGCACAGATATAGATATAGCTACCTTCTCTTGGGATAAGGGTCCTGTTGAGGGTTCTTCAAAAACCCTGTTGAACACAGAATCCCTTTAAGGGTTCCTGCGTGCAAAATCGTTCGCGCTTCAGGAAATCGTAAGCGTAGTTCTGGAGGAACTGGGTATTGGCAGCACTGTAATTGGGAGTTTCCGCAAAAGGGGACCCTATTATAGCACCCCAAATAGCAGGATCGTTATTATAAGGACCCCAAAGAACGTACCCCTAATATGCGGAAAGTCCCAAATGTAGCCATACACGCAAGTCCAGCTCAGGCCGGTCGGTTAGAAGCACGTAGGTGGCTTACACAAGCTCCCCTAAGGGTCCATGTATCCAAAAGGAGTTTTAGCCTATGGGGGTTTAGTAGGGATTAGGGTTCTCATAATAGGGTGCATATTAAAGAATCCCTACCCCTAAGGGTCCATGTATCCAAGTAGTATATACTTTGGCCACAAAGTGGTCCCTATTTAGGTACTTTAGGGACAAAGTATCTGCTAGTTGGGTACAAGGACCCTTGGGGCTTAACCGGCTTGGGGGTCCTGTTCGACGTCAAGCCACTTTCCAGGACATACAGCTATTTGGCCTTAATCGGGTTTCCAACTTTATGGGGTCTACTGTAATGAGCAACACAAAGCTTCTTCGAGCGATAAATCCAAGAGCCCAAGACAGGTTGCTATGGAATGCGCTTCTTACAAAGCCTCGCAAAGCAGACACATCATGATACTGCCATGGTTGATGGGCATACAGACCATATGCCTTGCACACACTGTAATGAGGTGACACCAAAGCAAGGAGTGCACGGTTCTGCAGATTACCAATAGCAGACCAGTCGGATGCTTTGTCGTGGCACCGATACGGTTTAGGGTTTAGGGTTTTGGGGTTTAGGGTTTAAGGGTTTAGTAGATTTAGGGGTTTAGGGGTTTAGGGTTTAGGGTTTCTGCATCCAAGCTTCTCTACCAAACCCTTATAATACCCACTTTAGCATCCCCGCAAAGAACCCTTATGCCCTTACAGTAACCTTCCAAGACTATAGCCATTGGAGGATCCCAAATATGACTAGTGGTATATTCCGCAAGTAAGGGATTTTGGAAGGTCTGGGATATCTAAGCTTTTAACGGAACTCTGAAAGGAACTGGCCGAGTCACTGAAGGTTCAGTGTTAGCTGGGCCAGGGCTGTTCGCAGCTTCTCCAACTGCGGTGGGAGCAAGGGGTTTAGGCTTAGGGTTTCGGATTTAGGGGTTTTGGGTTTAGGGTTTGGGGTTTAGGATTTCGGGTTTAGATAGGGCGTAGGGGGGTTTAAGCTGGGTTAGTGAAGGTAGCCTTTTCTCTGGCATTGACTTTTAATAAGGGAGCCCCAATATGAAAAGTGTAAAGAACGGTACTACTGCGGAACCTAGTCAGGTGTCCATGTACCCAAACAGTAGATACTTTGGCCCTAAAGCACCGATATAGGGACTACTTTGTGGCCAAAGTATATACACTTGGGGTACCTGGACCCTTAGGGTAAGGGTTTAGTGTCTAGGGTCTGGGCGTTAAGTGTGGAGAGTTTAAGGTTGATGTAGGAGCTTGATGGTCTGGGCTTCAAGGATTTAAGGAGTCCAAGGGCTTCAGGTTTGAGGTTAAATCCTTACCCGAAGAGTCCTAAGTACCTGTTGAGTAGAATGTAGGGTTTCTATACTATATTAGGAATTACTACTAGGATCCAGGTCTACCGTGACAACCACAAGGACTCGGCTTCGGCACTTAGTCCCTGTGTGGGTAGGTGCCTGGGCGGATTGTAGACCCTAAACCCCAAACCCTAAACCCCTAAACCCTAAACCCCTAAACCCTAAACCCCTAAGCCCTAAACCCCTAAACCCTAAACCCCTAAACCCCTAACCCCTAAACCCTAAAACCCAAACCCTGAACCAACAAAGCCGTTCAAATTTAAATCGGGCTCGGGTTGCGTGTTTAGGGTTAACCCTTTTGCCTACAACCCTCGCGGGTTGCTGTACGGTTGAGACGCTTGCGAACTCATCGTTCGCCTACGGGATTGTATAGGATTTCAGCCTTTTGGGCTCTAGGCTTTAGGGTTTAAGGTTTAGGGCTCCACTTGAACATGCATTAATTACTGGAAACTGGAAACCTCAACTTGCCTAAACTGCGCGGACCAGAACTCTGAAACCCGATTACCTAGGTCTTCACGGCCTTTGACATTATGTCACATACACCCCTCGAGCTAAACCCTATACCGCTCGTGTTAGCCCCGCAATACCACTAGATTTCTTGAGCTTTCCGCTACAGTACCCCGAGCCCGGAACTGTCAAAATGGGAATTCTGAGCTGCAGGGGCTTAGAACACTACTTGGAGGGGCAGGACTTAGTAAGTAGGTTATAAATGGAGTTACCCCAGTTATAACCCTACTTATAACCCTACTTACTAAGTCCCCTGCCCCTCCAAGTAGGTTTATGGTTCAGGGTTTCAGGCTCAAGAAACACATGATGTAAGGTTGGGGTCATAGGGTCGTCAAGGCAGCATAGCCAGCCCTAAGGCTACTTGCCCCCATGCTTACTTAAAAGATCACGGGACTTAGTAGTTACGGCTATTCTTTGTACTTAGTAACTACGGTTGTTTTGTTGGGGTGCAAATGTTTACAAATGCTTATAACACCAATTAAGGCACTATTACCATACTTACAAAGTCCCATGAGTCTCCATTGTAGAATCCTTACAGATCCCATTAAGGAACCCGAGAATATAACCCTATAGTACCCGTAAAAGGAACCCTAAATTCCAATATAGTACATCGTTAAGCCGCCACAGGCTTCCTACATAGGTGCTTCGGCGCCGACGTGCGCAGAGCCTCCAAACACACCGTAAGTAAGGAATATACCTATACCTTACATTATGACTGGAACTCTACTTCGATTTACGGTATATTCCTTAATGAAGAGGTTTTGGAGGCTTGGGTATACACTTTCTACTTTTTGGGCACATGGACCCTTAAACCCTAAGCCCCTTAATTCTACCCTGATGCCACCTTTAAAGGAGCCCTTGAGGGAAACCTTCTCGGGCACATGGACCCTTAGGGTAGATTGTCGGAATCTTGGTTTCTGTCTCTTTCCCGCATGACGACGAACAGGCGGCTACCAGTGCAGGATCGTCCTGCACAAGCTTTCTGTCATAAGTAAGAGGGCTTAGGGTTGAGGGGTTTAGGGTTTAGGGTTTAAGGATGAGGATTCATGAAATTGAGTGGCTATGTACTACTTGCACTAGGGAACCCGAAGGGAAAAAGCATTGGCTGATTCAGGAGCCTGCATGAACTGTTTTGGAGTTCGCCCGTCAATTTTCTCAGCTTTTGTGGATGCAAGATTTCGGGTGTGAAGCCCGCCTGTTCGCTAAAGGCTCACAAGTCAACGATCTGGGATGACCCCTAGACCCAACAGTAACCTGGGAGGAAAAAGGATGCCCTTTTTGGTTTAAAGGGGCTTATAAGGGAACCTGAACCCTTAGAAAGGGAATAAGGGCCTACTCTAGGTCCTAGACCCCGCAAAAGTTGAAGCAAAGGAACATAAGCGACAACCCCAAACCGACAAAGTAAAAGCCAAAACATGAAACGTCTGTTGCTCTAAGATGCTGAGAACCTTGCTCCGTGGTGAATATGCCGAACCCAAAGGGTCCTATGTATCTGTATAGTAGAATGTAGGGTTTCTGTATGAGGAATTACTACTAGGATCCAGGGAAGTATGCCCCATAACAGTACATAGGACCCTTTGGGGAAAGAAGCTGGAAAGCCTGGTATCGTGGTCCGGGCATCGGGTTAATTTCTTATCAGTCCGCCAGAGTACCTGTCTCCTGAGTGCAGACGCTGATTTAAAGCATTACGCATCAGTGGCGAGAATGTGCATCAATCCCACTTAGATCCGAATAGTAGGACCAAGAACTATGTGGGCTACTGTTTCCAGCGCTACATGCATGCAAACGAAGTACACTCTCTGTGCGTGTCAGCGCGTCTGTACTTGCAGAAGCACGCAAGCATTTATGTACCCATATACACCTTGCAACACAACAACAGGGGAGTCCTGAGCCACGGCAGCAGAAACTCGGCGATGCGGCGCTGACCCCTGCGATTCCTGGATCTTGTCACTATCGACCTACGTGAGGAACTCATTCTGTTGATGGCATGTGTGACTTCTTTCAGACCTCTTGCCTGCTTGAAACGTGTAACGGGCATAACACCAAATCTCAACCCTAAACATACCTGATACCTAAAAACCGATCGCCAAGTGTTTCGTGCAATTCGCACCCAGAACTGCGTTCCTGCTGCAGCAGCAAATGCTTACAGAGTCTACAACTGCAATGCAACAGATACATTCAGATACATATATATATATATATGTCATGAAGATGTGCACAAACGATCCATGACTCACACATGACAAACAACCACACCTATCAATACTCCCTTATTAGTGAAACGCACGCGCAAGCTCATAACTCCGAAACCCTAAACTATACTGAACTTAGAACCCTAGCAAAAATAGTAGTTTTAGCTGTTTCTTAGGGATTATAATCACCAAAAATTACAAATTATTTCTAAGTACCCCTAAGTAAACTCTAATTCCAGAAGGGGAGCCCAACTCAAGGCCGTTCAACCTTTTGGAAACGTACGGTTGATGATATAAATCCTGCATTACTTTATGGACCCCATAAACTATGGAATTTATGGTATATTCCCTATTATGGCAGGATTTATATCATCAACCGTATGCCCTAGAATTATTGAAACACGAAACCCTGAAAAACGGGAACCACAGACCCTCAAATCCTAAATCGCAACTACGAACCGACGGCCTATTCCACTTCCTAAAGCCTATAGTATAGCCTGAACCCCCAAAGCCCTACCCTAAGGTTAAAACCAGAATCCTCACACACCCAAAATCTGAATCCAAAACATGCCAGACCGAACAAACACCAATACGCCCTAAACGCTACCAGACAAAACCGACTGGACTCTTGTAAGCTTCCAGAAACCCATGTTGCATCCCCTCAGGGCATCCTTATAGAACTTTGTAGGTACCTCTGTCGGAACCCTTTAGCCCTTTAAAGCAACCGCAAGAAAATTCTTGCAGTACCCGCAAAAGAAACCCTAGACCTGAAACCTCACAAAACCCTTAAAGGGTACTACAGGGTCCTATAGCAGGATCCCCTTCAAATGGTTTAGGGTGTAGGATTTAGGGCTTAGGACCCTCTTTAGGAACCTTGTAAAGGAACCCTGGCTAGTTAAGGCCATGGGTCGGTAAGCCGAGGCAGCCAAAATCCTCCACCGCCCGCAGAACCGTTCCGTCACCTAACGGGTTGTGGGTGTCGGGTTTGTTTCCTGATAGGTTTGGTTTTGTGTTTTTTTGTTTGTGGTTTTGTGGGTTTTTGAAAGGCGCTATGTCATTTCTCAACGGGCTGTGGGTTTGTTATCGCTTCTTTGTTTCAATTCGGCTGGTAGAAGCTTGGCAGGGTGTTCCAGCAAAGTCCTTATTAAAGGGGTTCAGAGCCTAGGGTTTGTAGATGTAGGACTTCGGGCCAAAAGCCCGGTTTCATAGGCATTCTACCCAGCAGAGTCCTCTAGCGGTTTACCCAAAGGGTCCTATGTACCTGTATAGTAGAATGTAGGGTTTCTATATTAGGAATTACTATTAGGATCCAGGGAAGTATCCCCCATAACAGTACATAGGACCCTTTTGTTAGAGATTATCTATAGGGGGGTTTAACTGGGTTTAGGATTCAAGATCTTCTGGTTAGACCCCGGGTAGAAGACTACTGAATGCAGCCCCCCCCTACAAAAGACACCTAGGGCGCTCAAAGTTGATGGTTTACAGGGTTGGGGATTCGAGTGTGCACGGTATTGGGGTTGATGTTTTTTCGAGGTTCGAAGACTGCGGTCGATTCAGAAAATGTCCTCTTTGAGTTTCCCCCCATATAGTTTAAGGATTTTGGGATCCGATGGCCCCAGTTTAACACGAGCAGGCATGGGCCCGAAACAAGACCAGAACCCTAAGCCCAAACCTTCCTAAACCCTGAACCCCAAACACTAAACCAGTAAACCCACAGGGAAAGCATGGTCCGTACGTGATGGCCATACACCTTGCCGTTCAGTGCCATGGATTTTTGGTTTGAGGATGGATTGAAGACTAAGGGCGAGCTAGGACGTAAACTCGATATGATTGAAGGTGAGACTGGACCCCATGCAGCCTCTGAAAACATGCAAAACTCTACATGTTCAACTGCTCAATTAAGGCGTACTGGCTCTCCCGAGTGTTGAGGGCCCCGCAGGGTACCTCCAGGTAGTGAACTTCGACATTCCAGGCATCTGCATGAAGGTCCAAGCTCCCTGGAAATAGATCGGGGTGCTTAACCTCAAATGGGGGTTGATCAAAATTATGGGGTTTGAAAAAAGTTTAGGGGATCAAGGGGGCCTAGATTTTGTTGACAGCCCCCAAATACCTAAAAACCCCCCAATACCCTCACAAACCAACTTTTCAGGGCTGAAGGAGTTGAGAGGTTTACAAAATGCTCGCACTGTTGAGACTCCCTGAAGCCGCTTGAAGCAAATGACCTGTAGATATGACTACGCAGAAACAAAAAGGAAGTACAGGGAATGTGGTTATGTCGCTTCCTGTTTTGCTTTCTGGAGCCGGTTCTGGGGCGTGCTGAAGACGCTACATCCTGTTCATACACACGTTTTATGGAAACTCCGCCATGCAGTCATCTTGACATGAATACCCCAAAACCCACACCACTACGATTCGGGTACATGGCCTGCATGGACTACATGCCATCATACTGCTCCATGAACAAAAGGGAGTACGGTTTAGATTTGTACCCAAAAGCGTCAAAAGCTACCTGCTCGTTGAAAGCTACCTGGTCGACTGCCGAGAAGTCTGCGTCCTTCGCCTAACCTCACTCGCCTAACCTCACCCGCCAGAGAGATCAAAATACAAAAAGTCATATGCTCAACGAAATATCAACAAACAAGTACTACTGCGGTCGTGTCTGCAATATGGAGCCTTCTAGGGTTTAGGGTTTAGGGTTTTGGTTTAAGGTTTGGGGTTCGGTGAAGGTTATGAAGCAGAACGCGAAGCTTTCAGTGCGAAGGGCTTTCAGTCCCCAATGGCCGGGAAACATGGGGCTTGCATGTTCGTGACGATGGTGCTCCTCCATGAAGCCTGAAACCTTTCACGAACGAACGATATCTACCATCTATATCTACACACACCTACAATACAAATACACAGACATAAAAATTCATACAGGCCCGACCACTTGCAAGTCGCCAAAACATGAGGGAATTTCTGCCTGTGCAGGCGTGTCGAAAGCCGACCGTCTCAATTGAAATTAGTGGTGGCCCATTCTGTAGTTGTAGCTTGCTATGAGGGAGGAGCCATGCCGCCTTGCGCATGGTAGCTGCTTTGACAACATGGCCAGTCGCGGGTGGGAACAAACTGGCTTGTACCGGTGCCCAAAAACTTTGAAGAAACACGCTCTTGCACGAACAAATGCCAAACCGCGAGCAAACCTGACCCTCCCTCCCCGAGGCTGGACTCGGGATGCCTTTGAAGTAGTCGACGGCTTCCTGCAGTCCAGCTTAGGGCTTAGAGAAACAGTAGGGGTTTTGAGTGCATCCACTTCTCGGTCAGCCCACAGGAAACAGCACAAAGTATCCCCACCAAGCTCGATGTTAGGAAGCATGGGTCCGTGCCAAGAAACAGAGTTGCAAGGAGCAAGCAGCACCGGCTGTTCTTCATTGACAATTACATCATTTGCACGGCTTGAAAAGCTGAGTGGCGGAGTATGACTCAGACCAACAAATGTTCAATCATGAAAACAGCCATCGAGAATTTCCAAGCCTCCAGTTTTAGATGCGGTTGTCCACTCCCGCAAGCGGTTCACATAAGGCGGCCTCATTTATACCAGACAACGCTGAACATCTATACCAGACAACACTGGGAAACTGTTGAGCGCTCCCTGAATGCCGCTGTGCCAGCTGGTAAAGCCGACGACAAGACGTCGTTTTCATGGTATAAAGCCACAAACCGATTCGCAGCTACGTGTAGTATCCAAGTCAGTCAGTCGCATTGATCCGATCGTGCGAGGGCAGCAAAACATGCATCGCGTGGCCGACAAATTCGATTTCTGAATAGTTTTCCTCCAACCCGCCTTGCCAGTACGAATGCATTTCTCTGAAACCCACACTCATATTCCCTATCCCTAGAAATGTGGCTCTTGCATCCCAGGCTCTTGGTTCTTAATTATCCTGCCCGTTTTCAATATTCTGCATGCTCCATGCCAGCGCAATACTTGATGATTCCCCAACCGCATTATCTGAATTTGGTTATGAAAGTTTCTGTACAAGCGAACCACAACTTTAGCTAGCTTTGTCGGCTCAACTATCTTCTTTGGCTGTCTTGCAGTCGACTCACCACGTATCTTCCAAACACAACGGTGCTAAGCCGGATTCAGCAACAATGCAGCTACCTGCTCCGAAACCTATGCACCCATTTTAACCCTAAGTTTATTTGCCTAATAAGCCACAAAATGAAAGGTTCAACTTCCCATTACAACTACAAGAACCCAAAAAGTTCAAAGGTTGGGTATTGGGGAACCAACTAAGCTCTAAACCACGAATGTTCGCCCGACAGACCTGAAACCCATGGTCCGATATGAACCCCAGGTCTAAGCCCCAAACCTCTCTATGCATCCGAACTCAACCTGAAACTCTAAACTTACCTCCTGTAACCCCCTAGGATACCCAGTAACCTAAGAATATAAAGGCCTCTTTTTTTTGGTATTGGGTAACTTTATAAGGAACCTAGGACTACAAAAAGGGAATAAGGGTACTACTGGGCATCCTAGCCGCTATGTAACCCTCAGACCCAGACTCTGAAGCTGAGGATCCTGGACGCTAAGGTTGCGGTTTAGGGCTTTGGGCTTAGGGTTTAAGCTTGAGTGCTTTGGGTTTAGGGTTTAGGGTTGCGGTTTAGGAGATTTAGTGCTTTAGGTTCAGGGTTTAGGGTTGAGTGCTTTTGGTTTAGGGTCTAGGGCTACGGTTTGGGGGATTTAGGGCTTTGGGTTTAGGGTTTAGGGTTACGGTCTGGGGGTTGAGGCATTTTGGGTTTATAGGTTTTAGGAAAGGCGCGGATGCCTGGCAGCTATGCCATGGCAACAGACCCTCAAGAGGCCAGAAGAAGGCACTTGAGCAACACCCATAGTTCAGACTTCTCGAGGAACTACATGACTCAGTTCCATCAGCAAGGTGTCTTGGGACCTCAACCCCCAGCAAATCACAGTAACATTGACAGCACGGTAAGCCTCACTGACATCCTTCATAGCAGTATCACACAAGAGACGATGGCCTGACAACACTTGATTACATATCGCCATAGCAGTGGAGCCGAAGTATACCAGGAATGCCGGCATCAATATCTTCGGACGTAGTTCTTCCTGCTGATGAGCGAAATCCTGCTCTAGGATGCCCAGCAACCTAGGAAAAAAACAGATCTCCCAGTTTTAGTTTTGGGTAACTTTATAAGAAGAACCTAGAACTACAAAAAGGGAAAAAGGGCCTACTGGTAGGCCTAGTGCTTCGTCCTCATGGCCAGTGCCAAGCCATGGACATGATAGCACATGGGAGTTTCCGAAAATTAGGGGTACCTTGTTTGGGGGTCCTTATAATAAGGATCCTACTGTTTAGTGTATGGTATTAGGGTCCCCTATTTTCGGAAACTCCCACATGTACATGCTACCAGTGTCACGTGTAAGGCCCCAGACAGCATGTAACCTGAGGCTCCTACAGTAAGAGGGTCATGGGACTATATCAAAGGGGTTGTTACGTGGTCTGCTTCGTGGGGCTTAGTAACTACCCTAAGGCTCCTGAGAGGGTCATAGGCTTTCTGGGGGAGGGTTCGGGCTTTGGGGGCTAACGTTTGGGATTTCGCTACGACGATCCAGGAGCCTTCGGGTAACCTTTCAGACACCAATTGTATATAAGCCCCTCATAACAGACTGATACTATGGATGATGCCCTAAGCCCTCAATCATGAAACCTTAAACTTGTCCATCAGGCACGCTGGGCAGCCTGGACGTACGGGCAGGCGGTGCAGCGGCTTGTGCCACGTTCCTTCTCCTGTCTGCACGGCTTTCAGCTTCGTGCTTTGAGTATATACTTTGGGGATGACGGCATTGGGCTTTCGAGGCTTATGGTTTTGCGCTGTTTTACGGCTTTCCACTCCGGATTCTATTGAAACGAAAAGGAATTATTGCCATGTATGAATGTGGATATATGTATATATAATGCATAGGTAATACCTGAACTCTCTGACCCAAGCAACGGAATGCGGACCGAGTGCATAGTGTAGGAGCCCCCAACACAAATAGACATAACCTGTTCCATGGTTGGGCTTATCTGAGTTGTCCTTTAAGCCCTTCGAAAATTATTTACTGTTATGATTCTCTGCAAAATAATAGCGGAAATTAACAAAGATCCCAAAGGACAACCCAGTTACTGTAGATAAACGGGGATTCGAAGGGGATACACACATACCGGATCCCCCTGTCCAGTGCCTCGCTTAAGTGCTTAGGGCCGTGGGGGTTATAGTCGGGTTGGGGGCTCGAGCGGCAGGGTTTCCGGGTTCCGGTTGTGAGGCTTACGGAAACGGGAGTTTCCGAAAATAGGGGTACCTTAATTCTGGGGTCCTTATAACAAGAATCCTACTATTTAAGGTACTATAGTAGGGTCCCCTATTGTCGGAAACTCCCATGTTATGGTTTGGGTTTAATGTGCTCAAGGTGAAGCAACTCGCAGAACGGGATGAGAGCACCTAAAATGCACAGCTCCGTCCGTGTCTTACAGCTCTGAACAGCCAGGCAGGTAGTCGGCCAAGTAGTAACATGTACTCAAGGAACAGGTAGAGGAACGTACATGTTCACCGTCAGCGTTCATCCCGTCTTTCCCTCTTCGAACCCGAATGTTAACCCAACACCCTGAACCTTATTCGGTAAAGATTTGGATGATCTTGCTGCAGAATCGATCCCGAACCGCATACCTGGCATCACGGTAGACCTCTCCCACGTAACATAGAGGCCTTAATTGTTATCCGGAACCATATTGCCAAAGTATAACCAAAACCCTAAACCGGCATGTAATGCACTGAACATCAAAGCCTTACAGGCAGTGACGATCTTAGACTCTAGACTAGACCCCATAAGACTCAGCAAGACCTTATAAGACCCTAAACCCTTAACCCTGAACAGTTAACTCAATCTGTGCAGGCGGGCTTCACCATCGCTCGGTGCTCCCATTCCGCAAACGGCAGCAATGGTCAAGTTGCTCAGAAAGCCGCCGTAAGTGGAGACGACCTTCTTTGGCCAAGGCTCCATGTACCTAGATAGGTCTACAATATAGTATACCCTTATGCCTTAAAGGGGTCTTATATAGGTACATGTCAGGTGCATGTAGCCTTAGCGTTTGGGGGTGAGGCTGTTGAGCTTGGGGCCGACAATCTTGGATATATCGATTCTTTATTTAACCCCAGAACAAACAGCTCGAACCCTTATCTTGAGGCGTTTATCGGATTGGTTCATATGGATTTTAAGGTATAGGCTCTTGTATCGTTATGACAACCAAACCTAAGAAATTGAATTCATAATAAGAAGCCCCCCCAAAATAGTATTGGTAATTACTTAGGGTTTAGGGCCCGGCATTGAACCTTTCTGCAAGACCTGGACCACTTCTGCCCCGCAGCATGTACGCATATAGACTATATAGTATGCCTCAAAGCAGTTATTATGCAGATATCTAGGTTGATACAATGTTATATGAGTATATGGACCCTCGGGGTAACGGCCAGTGCATACCGTGGCACGCACGGTGGCCAGCAATCAATTATGCCGTCATGGATGCTGGACTGAAACTGGAGTCTGTCCGTTACCTTGACCGTAAACCTATCGATGTTCTCCCGGAATTCGGTTGCGGCGACATCACATTGCCGGAACAAAGCCGTTGGGCCTTCTTCCAGTCTGCACAGAACTTTCCGGTAGACGCTCCGGAGGTCCAGCCGCACTTGCACCCAATATGAACATCCAGTCCAAGCCATTGGCTTCATCCGGAGGCGTGAGAGCGCAATGCAAGCGCCAAGCTGCCTCCTTCGTGTCAGTAAACTGGCGAGCGCAGGCTGCTTTCGGCCTTTCCTTGCCGACTTCAGCTAGACACCAACCTCCCAACGTCTTATGCAGCGTCTTTCCATTCGGATCAACGCTACCATGAACAGCGAGGGTTGAGTGTCGAAACACTGACATGTGGAAGTTTCCGAAAATTAGGGGCGCATGCTGTCGTCTAATCAGAGGCGTAAGGCAGCGAGGGCGTTCTTGAGCCTAGAGTTCAGGGGTTTAGGGTTTAGGGGTCAGGGTTTAGGGTTCAGGGTTTGGGGTTTAGGTGTCAGGGTTTAGGATTTAGGGGTTCAGGGGTTAGGGTTTAGGGGTCAGGGTTTAGGGGTTTTGGGGGGCCTTGGGAGTTTCCCGAAGCTAAAGGATTACAGAGGCAGTAGGGCATCCTTCGTCGGATTATCAGTTGAGAATATCGTACCTTGAACCCCCTAAACATACCCCAAACTCGAAACCTCTGGTAGAACCTTCCGTCTATGAGTCCTTATTCTGATAATACAGGAACCGTCAAGCCCGAGGGATCTAAGCACTCATATATTAAGGCTCTTGGGCCCAACGACCATCTATTATAAGAGGCTTCTGGGTGATTTTGATGCCCAGGGAAACGAACCCTTGAGCCACCCAATCTCTGCCCAGCTGCTGCATGTAGCAACTTGTTGTACCTCGGGCGGAGGAACGATGCTCAAGAAATCCCTCGTGTTCGTTTTCAGGGTTCCTCAAGAGGTAATAAGTCGGTTGCGGGCTTGGGTTTTAGGGTGCTGTTTGCATGGAGTTCTAGGCACGATACTGTAAACCGGAAACCCACGGAACGACCATACAGTTACCCGAAAATCTTCAACACCGAAAAATCCACTGCTTTCAAAACGAATGCTATGAGCGCGTTGTTCGAGTCCTTCTCATTGGTTTACACGATGAGCTACCAAAGGGCCAATACCCAGGAATGATCACCGCTCAACACAAGTGTAGATGGACACTCAAATGTCAGATCAAGGGTATAATTAGGCTCTCTGGGTGAGGGTAGCTTCGGGACCAAGGTTTTGATGAGGGTTCTAGCGCTCGGAGCATGATTGGGGCTGCAGACTGATTGCAGGTAAGACTTTGCGATGGGGGCTTGGAGGGATAGGGATTGCATGTTGGTTCCCAGCTGCGGGCTACTATAAAGTTCTGTACTTTTCAAATCATGGCATCCCGCATCCCTTGTAGTCCCTGGCATACCTTTAGGCTCATACCCTACCCCTTTCTTATTTTAAGGTACCTACTTTTCTATATAGGAGATCATAACCACAAAAATCGGTACCCCAAAACCGGGGTAGGGTATGACCCGCCAGGTGTGAGAAAATATTCGACGACGATCTTCGGTGATCTTTTGCCCACAGGGTCCTATGTACAGATATAGTAGAATGTAGGGTTTCCATTGTCGGAATTACTATTATGCCTTAGGGGAGTATCCCCCGTAGCAGTACATAGGACCCTTTGGGTTGGTGTAGTTCACCAAGGATCAGTTTGCACATGCCTTGAACGGTCTTTGAAATAGAACGAAAGGGTTTAGGGTTTAGGGCAATAGAACGTAACCAAGGTAAACGAGGCCTCTGGAAACGGAAGTTTGAGCTCTGAGGCATGCTGAAACTTAGAGGGTCGTATACGGCTATCTGAGCTGTTTGACCCACCCTAAAGGTCCGTGTACTCATATAGTACATACCTTGGCATTCAAGGTACCTAAATCTAGGGCTACTTTCAAGCCAACGCATGTATATACTCTATGAGTAATCACGTGGACCCTCAAGGTAATGCAAGCATTTTACAGGTTGGGGTCTACCGGTTCGGGCTCGTGCATACCACCATGACTTCACGACCCCGCATGCAGAAGCCGAACCTGCGATCCCAAATGGCCTATCACCTAAACGAACCTTATACCAGTAGGCTTGAAACCTGAACAGGGTTGAGATAGTTCACTCGTGTTTCCGAGGGCTTCGACATCTCGTCGTAGAAGGCCAAGGTGAGTTCGGGCTGCGGGTGTGGGATGGGATAGTGTGTATAAGGCCTAGGAAGGGGATGACAATGTAGTGGTACCTTTCACTGTCAGTTACACCTGAGCCCTAAGAAATCGCACTCTTGTCAATTCTTCCGACTTCTACATACACTAACTCGAGATTCGACATACTCCATACCCCCTTAACCCTAACCCCCCTGTCATCCGATGATGTACACGGTGCGAAAGGTGACATTGTGCGGCTGCTTTCCACCTCTGCGGCGAATCTGTTTCCTAGTCAGCCCAACGGGTGCAAGTAAGACTAGAGTATATACTTATAGTATAGTACAGTATAGTAAGGTTGAGTTTTACAGTATGGTATAGCAATTGTCTGATATATGGGGATATACTCTTGGTGTCCAAATATCTACTAAGTACCTACTCTATTGGCACTTGGACCCTTTGGGCAAGTCTTGAGACTTCATACAAAACCCAACTCTCCTAGCTTAAACCCTATCTATATATGATCTTGCTGCGGCGGTTTGCAGAGCACAACTCCATGCGAGTATGAGGAGACGAGATGTCTCGGCAATGAAGCCCTGCTTTTAGCCAACGAACCTTACCCCTTCAAGGGAGTATACTAGGATGCCCAGTAACCTAGGAGAAAAAAGGGCTCCCTGTCTGGTATTGAATAACTTTCTAAGGAACCTAGGACTACGAAAAGGGAATAAGGGTACTATTGGGCATCCTAGTATACACGGAAATCATGGGAGGTCTGCTTTTGGTTGCGGGGGGCTACAGATCAGACCGAAACCCTACCTCTGCGAGTTTGACCCGGAACCCTGAACCTTAAACCCTAAACCCTGAACCATGAACCCTCCATGAACCCTGAACCCTAAACCATGAACCCTGAACCTTACACCCTAAGCATTTGCCCTTAACCCAGAGCCGCCAAACCTTCAACCTCCACACCAAAAGCAACCAAGAGCACAAAGCATAACCTTAAATCCGCATACCCTTCATCCCCTTAACCCCTCAGCCCCTAAACCGATAGTAATTGCTAGCCCCTGTAACCCCATCAACCCCTAAACCCTAAACCGATAGTAATGGCAAGCCCCTGGCAGCACAAGATGAAGAACTGGGCCCTCACGGACTGACTTGGAACCACGACATCCGGACTACCGCCCCGAGCTATACCTTGTAATGTAAAGGGAACTCCAGAAAGTTGGAATATGGATTACTGGTAGGATCCCCTATCACCCTAGACCGCGGAATGTTCACCATTATTCAGTGCTGGTAAGCGGCTACTTGAAGGGGCAGGGGACTTAGTAAGTATGGTCATAAGTAGACTTATAAGTACCCTAAATGGAGTTACCCCAATTATAACCCTACTTATAACCCTACTTACTAAGTCCCCTGCCCCTCCAAGTATACCTTGTAATGTAGGGCTCGTGGGTTTTGTATTTGGGGGAAAGGTTATGATTACTATCAATACGAAGGACCCCTAAAAGTAGTATTGGTAATCTTTTGGGCCCCCACATTCTACAACTTAGAGCTGCTATTTGGGGGTTGTTTTATTTCGTCTTGGGAGTTGTGGCACTGAGATTTCGTGAGACAGCTTTCCAAAACCCTCAGTGATTTTACTTGATCGTCTGCTTGGACCCTTGCGAAAGTACACGCAAGGCCACACTAAAGAGTCGGTTCCATCACCCCATGAATCGTGAACAACAATGGCAGCCTAAATGCGAGGTATGGTTCAGCGTTGTTTGTAGTAGATCCTAGGCTTGAAATGAGCGTACCTCTGTCGATGCCTGTAGGCCTACCCTCACCATGATCAAATGCAGCTCGCACTTATCCCCTAGAGACCTATATTGAAAACAAGCACGAGACAAGATTTCCGTCCATTCTCGAAAACAAACCTTTATTGAGCCCATTGTTGCGGCACAGGGGGCCGTGTTGTTGGAAGTCGCTACTCCCCAAATTCACCTGTGGGATTGGTGTTTCGGATTCAAGGGGGTTATCATTTAGGGTTCACCTTAACCCCGAATAACCTACCGTTTTAGGGGATTGATACAAGGAAATAATATGAAGGAGCCCTAGACAGACAGGTTTCTTAGGGTCCAGGTAGGGCTTGGGGTTGAGGGCGACGGGTTTGAGTATTTACCGCTGCTTCGATCTTCAGGATGGAGGCGCTGGGCACATTTGAGCCCAGGAGTTGGGTTTGGTTTCGCTTGACGCTTAACCTTTAGGTTTTAATGTAGGAACCTGATTAAGAATTCTTGTGCCTTTTGTGGGGTTCCTTATATGAAACCTACTATTTTGGGGTTATAGGCCAGGGTTTTCTAATTAATGAGGTTCCTACATTAGTTTTAGGGTTTTGGGCTTCATGATTTAAGATTCTCTTTTGCGGCTTGAAGCTGTAATCGTCGGACATCGGGCACTGGTTGTAGACAGTAGCGTGTTGGATCGAGGATTAAACTTCGCGTTTAACCCTCCACTTGCAACCCCAAACCCAAAACCCTAAAATTTTGAAACCCTGAGGCTGAGGGGGTGTTGTCCTGTTTTTTTTCTGGGATCTGGCTTCGGCCTTGCGTTCCTGAAAGGATAGGTAAGTTTCTTAATCTGGACTTTGACGTAGCCAAGGAGAGAAAGGTAACACTTATCTTTCATAATGTTTCCGGCAAGTATCCCCTAAACCCTAAACCCGTAGCATGGCACTCCAGAACCAAGTACTTGTTCAGTACCCCTGGGGAGCTAAAAGATTGCCTCTGGGATTTTTTGGGTTTAGGGTTTAGGGTTCAAAAAAAACTAAACCTAAGGGTCCATGGACTCCTGTAGAATATACATTGGCCTTAAAGTACTCCCTACATAGATACATTGGGCCCAAAGTATACACTCTTCGGGTACATGGACCCTTAGGGGTAAACCTAGAGACTCCAATATCCCTTAATTAAGGAATATTCCTTAAATCATATTAGGGATCCTATTAGAGTTTAAGGAATATTCCTTAATTAAGGGATATTGGAGTCTCTGGGAACCCCAAAACCTGGCTGAAGGTTGCATACTCTTCTGCGAAGGCTTGCGATCGAAGATGCTCTTTTGCAGGGCTTCAGTGGGTTTAAGGTTTCCCAGAGGGTCCAACGGTTGGTGATACAAATCCTGCATTACCCAAAGTAAGGAATATACGATAATTGCCATAGTTTCGGGTCCTCAAGGTAATGCAAGATTCATATCATCAACAGAAGTACTCCCTATTATAGGACTTCAGGGCCTTCAAGGGTACCAAAAACCATAAATAGGGACTACTTGGACCCTTAGGGTTTAGGCTCAGGATTGAGGGACCGAGGGTTCAAGTCGAGTTTACAGCCAAGCTGATGATGGGGCCGAGATTCTGATGTCATGCTCGATGCTGCAGTTGTTGCGGGTTTCGGGTCCAGGGTTTAGTTCGGTTGGTCATGATAAGGCCGATGTGTATGAAGACGGTGATGACGGCCACGATGGCACCGACGATGCTCGCGAGGCTGCTTGTCATTGGGATAGTGTTTGTGCTGGCTAAGATCATGGCGAGTGTGATTGACAATGTTGATCTTGATAGTCAACGCAGTAGTCTTAACAAGAGAATTCCGTCTGTAAACTCTCAAGTAGGCAAGAAATAGCAGCAATATCTTCAGTAACAGCAGCAGCATTAGCAATATATCTATGATTGCAGGAATGTATGTACGTGAGTATGTATGTATGTAGGTAGGTAGGTCGGCAGGTAGTTAGGTAGGTAGGTATGTAGGTATGTATGCACGTTCTATGCATCCACACGTGTAGCTTGGTAGGCAGGGCCTCTGGCACTAAACAGATATGGGAGTTTCCGAAAATTAGGGGTACCTTATTTTGGGGTCCTTATAATAAGGATCCTACTATTTGGGGTACTATATTAGGGTCCCTTATTTTCGGAAACTCCCATATGAACATGAACATGTCACGTTCGTCACGTTCGTGACTAGCCGATGCAGGTAGGTAGGTAGGTAGGTAGGTATAAGGTACGTAGGCAAGCAGGCGGGTAGGAAAAAACAGATACGTAGGGTAGGGTAGTGGATCGGGTAGGGTGGGGAGAGAGGCAGGTACGTAGGTAGGAAAGGTAGGCAGAGAGTTGTGTGTGTGTGTACGTCTGTGTACATGTGCGTATGTAGGATATACGTAGTTTCTTACCTCAAGTTCTGCAGATGTACGGATGGATTCCATGTGGGGCGCATGTGTCGGTAGGTCGGTTGCAAGGTAATGATCTGGGCAACCACATGTGGTCTGTAGAAAGCTGGGCACGCAATATAGGGACCTTGATACATAGAATACGTCATCTTATGGCCCATTTTATTTATGATTAAGCCAGGGAGACCACCGGGATGACATGGACAAGTTATTTAAGAAACAACGAAACTTACACCCGAAGCCCTATGTTGGGACTTTGCAGCCCGGCTGCGATCAGCAGGTCGGGGCGTCGATGAGGCTGATGAGTAGAGTCGTCACTCTGCAGCCTTCAGGGCTTCCCAGCAGGTTAAAGGGTTTCGGTTTTCGGGTTTAGGTCTTAGGGCCTAGGGTCTAGAGCTTAGGGGTTTAGAAATTATAGAAGGGCTTAGGGTTTAGCGGTTTAGGGTTTCGGGGTTTAGGTGTTGGGATGTGCAGGGAGTAGTGTTCAGCTGAGAAACTACTGTCGGAAACCGACAACTTAGGGTGTTGGTCTCGGCGCTTACCGCAAAACTCCCGAAAGGCTGGGACATGGAAGAGGGATGATTGGTTCTGAGCTGAGATTCCCTGTGCTTTGCCCTAGGCGCCTCTTCTTTACTTTCCAAACCTGCTACATCCAAAGCTTCCAAAGCGCAGGACGCATTCCGCAAGACTCTGACCCCCACCTGCGCGACCAATAAGAAAGCATAGTCTCTCTTCCAGAGAAGTATGCCTCATGAGGGGGTGAGGGCCAGGACCCAGACAGAGGGGAATCTTGACGGTTTAGAGCTTAGGGTTTAGGGTTGAGGGTTTAGAGTTTAGGATTTAGGGTTTAGGGTTTAGAGTTAGGGTTGAGGGATATTAATGTCCCAGGCAGATGTGAAAGTGTTTCTTTGACGAGCCGACACTGCAAGAACTCCTAAAATCTGTACCCTCAACGCAAGTGATTTGCCAAGGTAGGGACCCCTAAAGCTTAAACTTGCATAAACCCTAGGCCCTACACTGGTGGGTTAGGGTTTGGGGTTGGGGGTTTGTAGGCTTCGCGCATGACGGCAACTGCCACAACAAAGTGGAAACGACCAAGAAGCCAGGCACCTGGTCTCTGAGGTGTCCTTGAATCCGTCTCCAGCCGTAAACCCTCGTACAACCCCACTATCCCTCGTCGGCAAATTCTCAGAGAGACCTGTACTAGGTGTCGATTTCAACCGTCCCCACAATTATGTATAACTCAGGCTCTGTATGAACAGTAATGGAAATCAACAATTACCCCAAATCGATACCAAGTATACCCCAAACCCTAGACCGCGGAATGTTCACCACTATTCAGTGCCGGTAATCGGCTACTTACTTACGAAGTCCCATGCCCCTCCCAGTAGACCCCAAACCCCATAGATCCCTTTAAGGAACCCTAGAGATCCCTTTAGGGAGCCCTTTAAGAACCCTTACTAAGCCCCTGCCCCTTCAAGTACTACTTGAGCAGCCAGAAACAGAAGACTCCCCCCGAGCCACGAGACTCCCAAACCCATGAATCAAGGGACTACTTACAGGATCATGGGACTTAGTAACTTTATAGGGCTCCTTAAAGGGCTCCTTTAAAGGGATCTATAGGGGTTCTATAAGAGGGGTTTTAGGGTCTACTTAAAGGATCATGGGACCTAGTAACTAGGGTTAATATTGGGGTAACTATACATTTAGTTCCTTATAACCCCAAGTAAGGGACTTATAACCATCCTTATTAAGTCCCATGATCCTCCAAATATACAGTACATGAAACTGCACAAGGCCTCCTACCGGTTTAGGGTTTCAGGTTAAGGGTCTTTGGCCTGGGGATGATCTAGCTGTAACTGAAGGACCATCCTAAACCCTGACCCCAAGGGTCCAAGTACATAATAATCATATACTCTCCAAAATCCTAGCCTACATAGCTATTATCCGAAAACCGAATACCTAATTATTGGGTCCTTTGGACCCTTGGGGTGAAGCGAAAAACACTCACATTGCTCAACTGCGGGGTTTTGGGAGTCTCTGGGAGCCCTTAAGCGAAGGAAGCCTACACGTTCATGTCTTCCGTACTGGATCCTTCGCCTTTTTCATTTACCACCCAAGAAAAACCCCGAAGCCCAACATCCTGGGCCATGAACCCGAAACGTTAATCTTGAAATCCGAAGTCCGCATCTACTCTCTGGGCCGAAACGAACGACATCTGAAAGCTGTAGCCTATGTTGGGCAGGGCGATTCTGGCCTCCGTCTGGGCGTTCTGCATGATGCCGATGCCAGAAAGAGCCTGCAGAAGTCAGCTTGAACCACTTAGATCTGTTTTAGAAACGCTGAACCATGAACCTCAAACCCCAAACTGCCTCTGAAACAGCCCCATAAACATGAAGAAAGCCCTAACAATTACATCCCAAACCCTGCCTACACCCCAAACCCTAAACCGCAAACCCGAAAACCCTAACCCAAAACTACGAAATCCTGGGGTTCGGGGTTCAGGATACATGGCTGGGTTTGAGTTTTAGAGTTATAGGGTTTATGTAGCAGGGCTTAGCGGGATTCCTCTACCTGGGGGTTTTTGGAATGACAGGAAGAGCGAGGGTGCGTGTTTGGGTTTCGGTGCTTAGGGCTTCAGAACTCTTGGGGTTGAATGTGCAGGGTCTGTCGGGTTTAGGGTCCAGGGTTTCGATTTAAAAGACTATCCCGTAGTACATAACTTGTGTGGCAACTTAATAGCCATATACTATGGAGGTTAGGTTGTGGAAGGTGCATTGTCATGTGCAAGTAAATCCTAAACCCTGAGCCCAGAAACCTATTGAACAAACGATGCCGATCTGCCCCTGTGGACTGCTGAAGGGATGCAGGTACACGAATGAACGGTTCCAAAGGCCAAAAACCATGCACAACTTGTTCTTTGTGAGCTCGGTCCCTAGCGGGAACCAAATCCAGTACAATTAGAAGCCGTGTAAGCCTAAAGGGAACTCCAGAAAGTTGGAATATGGATTAATGGTAGGATCCCCTATAATTTACCTTAAAGGGGTTACGATAATGATATTCCAACTTTCTGGCTTCTACTGTATTGAAACCCATTCAAAAGCTTGTGGTCCCGAACGCCTGGACGTCTAGCTCGGCATCCAGGGCTTCCGCAACATGCCCGATGAAAGAAGCCTTCCGACACAGGTGGATACAAGCGGTTTAGACTTTGCGATGCGAAACACAGCCAATTGGGTTTACTATTGCAATGACAACTAAACAAGCAGTGAATTACCCTGGGGATCAAAACAGCCCAAAGGCCTTACATAATCTTGTCTTTGGGCCCAAAAGCCTTAATATATGAGTCCTCAGATCTCTAGGGTTATGGGCATGTCCTATATGCTGCCTTCCCCAACCCCCGAAAGTTGGCGAATAAACCCTCTGCGGTTTAGGGTTGGGGGCTGAAGGGTTACGGGCTTAGGAAGCTACTAGAAGAAAAAAACAACTGAGACCCGACGGCACAGGCGCGGCAAGTACGAACATCGTGACACGGGCAAGATCACTGAACAAAATCTGAATAGTCGATCGCACCAGCAATCAGTGTAGCCACACGAAAAACGAAAGAAGCAAGCCAGTATCAACAATAAGCAAAACTACAACCACTACCGCGATAATGGCGACGACCACGAGAACGACCACGACCGCTCCTCCTCCTTTCCTCCTCCTGCTGCTGCTCCTACCACTACGACCACTACTACTACTACTACTACTACTACTACTACTACGACTACTACTACTACTACTACTACTACTACTACTGCTACTGCTACTGCTACTGCTACTGCTACTGCTACTGCTACTGCTACTGCTACTACTACGACTACTACTACTACTACTACTACTACTACTACTACTACTACTACTACTACTACTACTACTATACTACTGCTATACTACTACTACTACTACCACCACTACCACTACCACTACTACTACTACTACTACTACTACTACTACTACTACTACTACTACTACTACTACTACCACTACTACTACTACTACTACTACTACTACTAGTAGTACTAGTACTAGTACTAGAACTAGTACTAGTACTAGTACTAGTACTAGTACTAGTACTAGTACCACTACTACTACTACTACTACTACTACTACTACTACTACTACTACTACTACTACTACTACTACTACTACTACGACTAGTACTGTGACTCGTACTACGACTGTACTACGACACCTATCACCACTCGCCGCCATCCCTAATTTTGATGTTAAAACACCGTATACTAGCCAAAAGTAAAGCACGGAAGATTTGGGAGTTGTCGAAAATAGGGGACGCCAATATAGTATAATAGTAAGATCCGTACCATACCGACCCCATAATGAGGTACCCCTAATTTGGGGAACCTCCCGTATCAACCAATACAAAACGGCAGAGTCATCACCCGGGGGCACCTCACAACTCTGATGTTGCCAAGAGAAGGCCAAGGAAGCGGCTACGCTGAGATCCGGAGATCCCTCGACGCCTCCACTTTCTTTTACTAAGGGTGGGAAGAAAAGTCCCAGAGTTTTAAACGGTCTTTTGAGTGCTCCATAACTCCAGGCACTAAGAAGCACTACAATTGGTATGTGCGTGAAAACATTCCTTTTCAGTTTGCTTCTCGCTCCATCCCTTACATGGATTGCTCTTGCTGCTCTTACGGCTTTGTTCACGCGCAGACGAAACAGTTCGTAGATCAGCTGTTAGCCCTAAGCCTCAACCTTCTTTAAGCCCAAAGCCCCAAAACCTGCACCATGAAGACTAAGCCCTTCCCGCTCCGTGTTTTCTATCCCAAGCAAGAATAACAGTTCGCTTTGCAATACGTGTTGTGAACCCCCGTTAGAGCAATTCCCATATACCTTAACCATCAAAAAGCCCTGCGCAAAAAGAATAAAAACAACCTTAACTAACGAACCTGTTCAACCCAAGTCAACGGCAAGACGCCATCCGTGGACCCAAACGCCTTAGCCACAGACTTCTGCAACATAAGACCCTTTATCCAAAAAAACGGAAACCCACGGCAAACCCCCAAACTCTGAACCCTTGAGAGAGACCTACACACCCCCACATCCCAAAACAATAAGCAACCATTTGTATGTCAACTCGCCAAGAAATTCTGTAGTACATCCACCGTGCAACCCCCCAACACTCCGAAAACCAACCCAAAACCTCTAAACCCGTAAACCCCCAAAACCCCTGAACCCCGGAACCCCTAAAACCCTCAACCTCAAAGAGTCCATCAACTAGTTCATGGTTGGGATAGTGTTAAAACTGTACATGTTTACTCATCATTGTTTACAAGTACCCATAAAAATGGATGGTTGTCAACATTAGGGTCCCTTTTTCGGGTCCTTGTTATAATGCGGCACCTAATATTAGGGTACCCAAAAAGGGGCCAAAATTTTGACAACCACCCAAATGCAAGATGCTACCCAACTGTGACAAACCCAAAGTACCTATATAGCAGAATGTAGGGTTTCTATATTAGGAATTACTATTATGATTTGCGGAAGTATCCCCCACAACAGTACATAGGACCCTTTGGGAAAGTCAAGGTGCAGTCTCCCAGTCCGACCCCATCTGCAAGCAGCTCGATCCTGCGCCGTCGAGACCCTACTTAAAGGATAGGGTTATTATGAAGGTAACCGTACTTATAAGTACTTGCATCCCCAATTAAGGTACTTCTAACCATAGTTACTAAGTCCCATGATCCGTTGAGTAAACCTAAACCCATGAAAGTCAGGGCTTGGGGTTTATCCCAAGGGTCCAATCCTAACCTACATAACTACTATCCTAAAACCGAGTATATACCTTATTTATTATTGGGTCGTTTGGACCCTTGGGGTTAGGGTTTAATTTTCAGGCTTTAGGGGCTTAGGGTTTCGGGGTTTTGGGCTTAGAGGTTTAGGGTTGGAAGTCTGCGGTGCTTTTTGAGCCCCCCAAATGCTCTTTAGCAGAGCCCCTGTGGTCCTTCATAGTGGGGATTCAGGGTATGTTTGAAAGTAGTTGAGGGGTCAAGGTTGGGCTCGGGGTTTGGGGCATTAAGGCTTCAGGGTTTTGGGGCTCTAGAGCTGGAGGGTTATAAAGGGGCTTAGGGGTTCCTAGAGGATGATAAGTGTTCGGTTTCCTACACCCTAAAAAAATCCCTCAACCCCTAAACCCTCAACCCTCAAAGGGGAGAAGGAGGACCCCTAATGGGGACCCCTTCCCTATAATGGGCTATATAATGGATAACGGCTATATTAAGGGTATATACCAAAGGGTCCTTATTAAGGGTCCCTCCTTTTACCCTTGGAAACCCCTAAACCCTGAACCCCTAAACCCTAAGTCCTTCTTCGCCGTCGCCGCGGGGCCGGCTGCAGCCGCAGCGAGGAGCCGATGGGACGGATGCCGTGGAACTCCTCTGCCCCTAAATCCTACACTTTAGCGTTCTTTTTTTTGTGGGCCCTTTTCCAACTGCAGTACAGCTAGAATTCCTATCCAGGATCAGTTCGGGGGTTTAAGGTTTAGACACATCTTCAAGCACTAAACCCTATGAACCCTAAACCTGAATGTTCATTAAATCAGCCCTTTTGGCTCGAAGCCATCAACCCTAAGCCTAAACCTTAAACCGGAAACCCCTACCGTAACCCTAAACCCCAACGGCCAACCCACAAGCCCTAGCCCTAAACCGTCCATAGAGTCGAGTCCGGAGCAAAGGCATGGGAGTTGGCAACTCGGCGGTTTAAGATCTAGGGTTTTGGGCGAACCCGTTCAGAAGTGCATGACACAGCTTGACTGTCCTGCACGAAGGTAGACGAGCATGGTTTCGGGCTCAAGTTTTCTTGGTCTTCAGGGTTTGGGGTGGAGGCTTGGTGACTTCGGAAAGACATGTAGTAGAGTCGCTGCTGGCAGTTTCCCCATGTACTGAAGGAGCAGGCTCACCAAAATTCAATCACATCTCCCTACTCCCTACCATATGCATACCCCGGCGGAAATTTGCAACATCCTACGGAGTATCCGAAGTCCGAGGCCCCAGAAAAATAGGTGAGTGTCAGTTCGGACTACCCAGGAGCCCTCAAAAAGAAATCCTTCCGAGAAGTACTCGCAACCCTTCGCCTCAAAGAGGACTCTACAAGGGTTCATCTAGAGAACTACCTACCCAACCCTAAACCCTAAACCCTAAACCCTAAACCCTAAACCATTTCGCCCCAAGGCAAAAGCAGTCCCAGACCGACGGCTCTAGCCAGCCGCCTCGAGATTCCCATCGGAGGTGTTGGAGCGAGGCTTAGGGCTCAGGGTTCCTTTAAAGGGATCTACAAGCGGTCCTTTAAAGGGGTCTGTAAGGGGTCCTTTACAGGGGTCTATAAGGGCTCCTTTAAAGGGGTCTATAGGGCTTAGGGCTTAGGGATTCAGAGTTTACCTTCAGGCTCCTAAGGGGTTACGGGCTTTGTGGGGCGAGGGTTTGGGGTTTGGGAGCTAAGGTCTGGGACCTCACTACGAGGGTCCAGGAGCCTTAGGGTAGGGTTTATAAAGGCGTTGAAGTAAGGCTCACCTTTTTTAAGTTGAACTGCACTCCCTGTCCGAAGATCCGAAGCGCTGGCATTTTGCCCAGCGTTTAGGGTCTTGGGTTTGCGGGTTGCAGGGTTTAGGGCTGAAGATAACGAGATACAACATAACCCAGTAGAAGTACTCTCAAATCCACTTCTTGATACTCAAGAACCTGCAGGCCCGTAAGTGTCGAACCGCGAACACTCCTTCCAATTTGGGACGCCGGGCTTGCTAAGCCCGACGTCCCGAATTGGAAAGAGTGTTCGCGAAGCAAAGAGCAATCTATGCCCTCGAAGCATACCTCAACTCTCTGCAGGTATATGAGATGCAATGAGGACTCCCGGAACCCTACACTGCATGCCCTCCAACTTGCTGAAAAGTCTGAAAGGAGCCCTTAACAAAACGATAAAAGCACAAAGCGCTAAATCCTGAACCACCGACATAGGGGTAAACAAGGTTTTGGGGAACAATATACTACCGAAATACTGTACAATCAGCAGCTCTTAAGGGCAAAACATTAAAAAAAAACACTGCTTCGGGTCAGTCTCTCTAAACCCTAAACCCTCAAATCCTAAACCCGAAAATTCGGCTCAGTCTCTTAACCCGGAAAACTGGCACCCTCACGCAGCTGAGCTGCCCCAGCCGGTTCCAAAAGGCCTTGGAGCGGTCTAGCATAGGCAGGTTTATTTAGGATTGAAGCGTGTTTTTTGTACTTTTAGGGCTTCAGGGACGGAGTTAGACCATCTCAACCTAAACCGCCTCGGCGCGCAGAATCCTAAAGCCACGGCGTCACAGTCGGTTCAAAGCATAAGACGGCCATATGGCTATATACAAACAGAACGGAACATCCCGCACTCTGAACTACACCCTATGCAAGACACCCTGTCCAGCTAACCGGTTCCCGGCAATCACAAAGCCTATTTTAGCACATTTTGAAAAATATCTTGCATATGCTCCGACCCCCCAACTACCCTTGGCCTAGAGCTGACCTGTGTAAAGCTGATGCATACAAGACCCCATGTATACCTTGAAATTGAAGTAGCCAGGGAGATGAAAAAAGTATAGAAATTAATTTCACAATGGTTCCTTTAAGGAACAGGTACCAAAAAAAGTATTCAAGTATGGTACTCCGAACCCAAGAAACTGGGTGTTTGGGGTCAGCCTTATAAACCCCTGAACCCTTAAACTCCTTTGTGAGCCAAAGCCCTGAACCCCTGAAGTCAAAAAAAAAAACCTAACCCCTGAATCCGCTAATATAGGGGGCTTATTATTGTTCATAGGGTTTTGGGGCCCACTATTGTATGTCTATAATATAAGGAACCCCCAAAAATTGTCTCGGTGATTTTTAAGGCTCCTAAATTATAGTACCCTTATTGATCCCCTTATAGTCACCCTTATAGACCCCTCCTAGATTAATGGTACTCCGCCTCGGCGAGCTCAGCTTCCTGAAAGTGACGGTGGAGTTCCCTGCCATGGCTTACGGCTGAGGGTTTAGGGCTTAGGGATCTATAGGGGGTCCTCTAAAGGGATCTATAGGGCTTAAGGTTTACGGCATAGGGTAAACGCACGGTTGGCCTCGGCAGCCGAGAAAAGAGTGCTCAGACGGTTGGCTTCTTTCAGCTGCAAAACGCACGGTTGGCTTCGGCAGCCACCTGAGAATTCCCTGTCTCTCCCCGCTTTGCGGGGGACAGCATTCCGCGCCTGGTCCGATCCTGGCAACCACCGTTGGGGTGGCCCCGGCGACGATTCCTAGTGCTGCCCATGTAAGGCCCCGTACAAAGTTTCCCACGACTGCAGTTGCCCGCTATACACATGCAATTTTGTGCAGAGCTCGTGCAAGTCGTACAAAAAGTAGCGCACTTCGGAGGAAGAAACTTGCAGGTCGTCCAAGTGCACTATCAACGCCTCGATAAACTTGCCTCTCTTCTCCACACACGCAGGGATGCCCTCGAAGTCTGGACATAACAGATGCAAGGGCTTAGAAGCCTTAGGGCTCGGGATCTAGGTTTACAGTTTAGGGTTCAGTGGGGTGTGCTCTGTGGCATAGGGGAACCGTTTGAAGAGCAAACAACTACAGTCAGCTGAATGAACAGGAGCGTTTAGGCGCGAGGTGCAGACGTTCGCTGACATGACCTGCGTGCCTGCTGGGTTCACCCGGAACCTAAGATGGCAACTGTTGAGCACCACGAGATCAACCGAGCGACTACGACAACTCTGCAAAATAACTACAAATAAGAACATTCCAAAAGGCACTAAACCCCAAAACTAAGTCATACATGCCCCAAACCCAGACAGTGGGCCGAAACACTGCAAGGTCGACCCTAAACTCTGCACCCTAAATCTCTACATATTCAACTCTATCCCCCAAGCTTCCAATAGCCCAAGTAAGCACTACCTATAGGCTCGTATACCCTACCCCTGTTTTAAGGTACCTACTTTTCTATATAGGAGATCATAAACATAAAAATAGGTACCCTAAAAAAGGGGTAGCATGTGACCCTCCAGGTGTTTCGAAACTTTATCTTCGACAGTAGGTTTTTCAGGTACGTGCAGTCTGACGATACTCGGGCAGGCCTATATCCCCCAATCAAGGGAACGTAACATAAGTGATGATAATGAGGAATCCCCTATTCAAGGATATATTCCTGAATCAAGGGTTTAGGGCTGCCTGGGTACCCCAAAATCCTACACCCTAAACCATCAATGGACCCTTATAATGGCACAGTCCGCCTTATAGGGACCACTAAACCCTATAAACCCTGAACCCTAAACGTACGGTCCTCTGCGGGAATGTAAAGCCTCATCATCGGGGGGGTTCCGCAAATAGGGGACCCTAATATAGTACCCTACATGATTAGTAGGATCCTTGTTATAAGGACCCGAAAATAATTGGAAGGTACCCCTAATTTTCGGAAACTCCCATCTGCCTCCGCGTAGTGGCACCCGCTGCTCCCGCAGCCACGGTAGCTGAGTCCAGGGGCCGAATACCTGCTCTGGTTCTGCTCAAAGGGTCGTATGTACCTGTATAGTAGAATGTAGGGTTACTATAATAGGAATTGCTATTTGGATCCAGGGAAGTATCCCCCATGACAGTACATAGGACCCTTTCAGCTGCTCTATAAATGGGTGGTTGTCACAAAAAATGGTCCCTTATTGGGTCCCTATTATGGTACGGCACCTAATATTTAGGGTACCCAATTAGGGACCCTAATTTTGACCACTACCCAAATGGCTTCACAACGGGGCCTGTTACATAAGGGTAACAGAATTTGTTCAAATTGTTTATAAATGCTTGTTAGTTGGCGACAGCACTAACCCACGGCCCCACATTGGTACTAAAGCCTGGGGCTACAAACCCAAAAGCATGTTGCAACTCTCAGTCCTCCAGCCCCAACCCATCAACCCCAAATCATAAACCCGAAAAGAAACTGGAAACCCTAAACCCTAAACCCCTAAACCCCTAAACCCTAAACCCCTAAAACCTAAACCTCAAAGCCATAGAGCTCTGAACCTGAAATCTGAACGAAGCACAGACAACATCTGGAAACATCGTCCCCGTGCCACCCGACAGTCCTAAACACCTAAACCCCAAACTCCTAAGACCCTAAACAAGGCCCTAACCCTAGCCACAAGCCGTGGCCCTACTCTCTGAACCCAAAAGCCTGACAAGCCAAATATGGATGTCTGAACACTTGGTGCCAACGTCCGCCTATGATTTATGAATCATGTTTATACATACACATATATATATATATATATACATACACATACAGATGTACATACATACATACATACATACATACATACATACGTATACACATGCACATAGACACGTACATGTGCACGTGATTACATATACATATACATGTCCATGCATATTGTTCAAAAGTAGACGTATATGTGTGTGCATATGTATATATATATATCTAATTCTACATATGTATACATACTTCTGCACAGGTACATACGTGTGTGTATATATATATATATATGCAGACATACAGACGTACCTATAAAATACATGTATGTATAGATATATAGACACAGGTATGTATGCACATCTATATGTATATGTATCTGTGTACACATACACACGGGCAGACTGAGAGGCAGACACGCAAACATATAGCCATGCAGACCTACAGACAAACAAGCTTCCAGGTATACAGACATGGATGGATCCACGCAGCCATCCAAACACCAATCCTTCCATCCTTCCATCAGTCCATGTACACGTATATATACATATATATATATATATATGTACATACATAAATGTATTTGGATGGGTATAGATAGCCATGCATGTATGAAGACATCCAGACATACAGACTTCCACCCAACCCTCCATGCGTCCGTCCATCCATATGTTTGCGTGCATGCATATGATATATATATATATATATATATATGTATATATATATGTATATATATATATACACATATAAGAGTGTGTATGTATACAGGTGTATATATATATATATATATGTGTATAAACATATAATATATATATATATATATATATATGTTTATAAACATATATATATATATACACACATGTATATCTGTGTGTCTGTGTGCGCGTGTGCGCATCTAACTATGTATGTCTGTCTGTATATACACACAAACGTGTACCTTTTTACGTATAGGTATGTATGGGAGCCAACTATGCGTGCATGCATGCACATGTACACCTGAATATACATACAAACAAACACACAGATACGAGCGTTGCATGTTGTTGTATATGTGTGTAGAACGTCTATCTATCTTACTGTCTCTCTATCTATCTACCTATCTATCTGTCTACCTCTCTATTATGTATCTAACGATCGATCTATCTATGGATGTATCTACCTCCGTATCCATGTATCTATCTTTCTGTCTACCGACCTACGGATCGATGCATTCATCGACCTATCTATCTGTCGATATATATTTATGCTTATATACACATGCATGTTCTATACAGTTACATACATACCTGTCTTTGTGTACGTACCTGCATATGCATATGCTTGGAGGACACTCTAGCCCGGAAAGCTGCGTTAAAGAGTCCCCCCAAAACCCTAAACCCCCAAACCCGAAACCCTAAACCCCTAAACCCCCAAACCCTAAACCCTAAACCCCTAAACCCCCAAACCCTAAACCCTAAACCCCTAAACCCTAAAGCCCTGTATTTCAGCCCGAATCCTCGGCTTCGACCCTCAACCGGGTTGCATCCCAGGACTGTCGGGAACCATCCGGACCATGTACCTACACGACGGTTTAGGATTTAAGGTTTAGGCTTTAGGGTTTAGGGTACCTACGAGTACTTCGGTTTTGATGAAGAGCGATATACTCGTATCTGTGAGTTCTCACGGAATAGGGGTAAAGGGTTTCAGATTTCCGGGCTCAAATTTTGGAAGCCGCTGTTGAGTACTAAGCTTGTTCTCCAAGTTTAGAGCATCCAGGATTGGGGGCTTTAGGGTTGAGAGAGGCCTTAACGTCCATGTAGGTAAACACTTTAGGGCCAGAGTCCCTACTATATCTATCTCTGTAACTAGTATATACTTTGCTTTAGAGTAGCCCCTATAGGCGAAAGTGTTAACCATATATAGTAGAGTATATGCCTTGGCCTCAAAGTAGTCCCTATATAAGTATTTTAGGGCTATATAAGTTGTATAAGTACATGAACTGCCAGAGCTTCGACTCCAGGCGCTTAGGGACATACTGGAAGTCATGTGGTCATGTGGTTGATGCACGGGTTCAGACACTTCGAGGCCTTCATGGGCTTAGGATCCCGGGTTCTCGGGCGTGCAAGGTGTCTGGGTTTGTCGGTTTGTCTGCATGGGCCAATAAAGTTAAAGCTAGCACAGTCGAGAGGCCATCGGAGATAGCTTCAGCGGCACCAGTGACATGTTCGCTGCCGGCAACGTGCAAGCCGAGTCTTGATGCTCAAGAATCACGCACTTCTCGCCATGCCTTGAAAATGACATCTGGCTTGAACCGCCTCAAGAGGTGACTCAACGCACACCGAGCCACGAAGACTTGCCATCACCCGTAAAGGGTGCAGGGCTATACTAAGCCTACAGGCAATTATTATCTTTACTAATATAACTAATGATGACGGTGCTATTGATGGTCATGATTATTCCTATTATGACTATGACATTACTAATTGTCCCATACCCCTGGGCTAAGGGAGTTTACGAGTTTCGGGGTTCGGCTTAAGTGCGTTTAGGGCCCGGGGAGGGTTTAGGGTTTAGGGACCGGAATAGAAAAAGCCCAAGGAATCATCCCGAAGTCCAGTTCAGAAGCTCCAATTAATAACACCCTTTCTTAGTTGCTGAGTTCATAAGCCCCCAAAAAAGCGTACACTTTCAGTTTTATGGTGGGGGATATTATCCCAAAAAGTGTAAAGTGTATCCACTCGGCTACTAAGCTTTTCGGCACCAAGCAAGCAGTTGGCGAGTGGTCCTATCGGTTATCGTCCTGATTACTTTCTGGACAATTCAGCGCCCCGGCCCTGGAGATTAAGTTTACGTCCTCTGAAATTTAACATGCAGAACCCTAACTCCTAAACCCTGAACACTTCACCAATCAGTACAATTCCGAAACCCTACTTCCCATAAAGTAGAACAGCATCCGTGTTAGCCACCCTCAGCCCTAAGCCCTGAATCCTAAACACCTACACCCCAAACTCTGCACCTTACACTTCTAAACCCAAAACCCCAAACTCCTGAACCCTAAACTCTACACACCTACGACTTCTGAACTCTTATGCCCTTATCCCCTGAAGTCGCAGTATCCTAAACCCCAAGCCCTAAACTCTGAACCCGTGAAGGCTCAAACGGGAGTTTCCGAAAATAGCGGACCCTAATATAGTACCCCGAATAGTAAGATCCTTATTATAAGGACACCCCTAATTTTCGGAAACTCCCAAACACCTATACTCGAGACGAGCCGAGGAGGCGACCGTGACGGCCAGACGTGTGCGCAGGGCTCGGAAAACCAGCGCAAGGCTGCCGCCACCGGGGTCGGCCTGATCAGTTCCAGCAAAACGGGGTTGGGGTGCGGGCATGCTATGTGTATGTGTGCATGTATATCGGGGAGTTTCCGAAAATAAGGGGTACCATGTTTTTGTGTCCTTACATGAAGGATCCTACTGTTTTGGGTACTATATTTGGGTCCTCTAGTTTCGGAAACTCCCATATATATATATGTATTTTTTACACACATATCTGTACATATTCACTTTTTTATGAACGTGTAAATGTTTAGTACAGGGTGTAGGGTTGTCGGGCTTTGGCGTGTAGGAATTACCTTTGGGGTTTGGTAAAGGTTGTAGGGCTTTTGGGTTAGGAGTGCTGGTCTGGTAAATGGTGTCGGGTTTTCCGGCTAGGGCTTGGAATTGGTTGAGGGCCAGGACGCAGGGGTTGGGGCTTTGCTAAGGGCTTAGGGTTCGGATTGTTGTTCAGTGCTTTGCGGTTTGGGCTCCCGTACACTGCACGCTTTCCCCCACAAGTAGGATCAACTAAACCTAGAACCCATGTCAGAAAACTGAACCATAGAACTCGTTCACGGAGCGCCCTAAACCCAAAACCCTGAACCCCTCTAAACGGATTCTTGGGGCTTCTTGTTGCAGTGTATCCCCGTCCTGGCCTCCACATTGAAATGCACTGCGGTGCAGGGCCAGTCCTGCTTTGACGTTGGTCATTAAGGCTTGGCTTCGGGTTTAGGGGTTAACCCCAAGGGTCCAAAGTACCTACTGTATATAGTAGATTAGTAGAATGTAGGGTTTCTATATTAGGAATTACGATTATGATTTCGGGAGGTATCCCCCGTAACAGTACATAGGACCCTTTGGGTAAGGTTTAAAGCTCTGAGCACTAAAGCCCTAAAATCATCAATCTCAAACCCCAACCCTGTAAGCCTAAACCCCTGAACCCTAAACCCTTATACTCTTCAGTTTGGGGCCGTGCTACAGTTGCTACAGTACCCTAAAAATTCAGATTGTGTTGTTGGTTGCCTCGGTTTCCTACTGTCCTACCCTAAATGTAAACTAGGTAACCCCCAAAAGGCACTACGTTCTAGGATCGAGGCATCTTATGTATATGATGTGTATAATACAAGTCTTAGGACAGGGTTGTTCGTGACCTTGTGGTCTAAGAGTCATAGGAAGCCTTGAGGAATAGGTTTGGCAATTATTCGAGCCCTACGTTAAAGGCCTGCTGACCAACGGCCCAGCTTCAGGATTCGGATTCAGCATGGTTTGTTTGTGTTCAGGATTGGGATACATGGCCTCTCATCAAGAGCCCAAGTCTCCTGTGGTATATACTAGTGTAAGAACTGTTGTGAGGCTAAGCTTCTACATACGATATGGGTACATGGACCCTGGTATTACAAGGTCTGGTAAACCCTCGAAGAGCCTCCCCCAAACTCTTAGCATTCGCCAGGGTTGCTCTTCAGTAGGCAAAACCGATTCCAAAGTCCCCAAGCCCGACAAACAAACCCTCGACCCCGTAAGAGGTATCGCGAAAACAGTGCCCAGTAGGTAGCTTTGAACCAAATGCGAATGCACCTCATTGCCACTTGCCACATTCCTACACCCTAGAGACAAAACTTCAAGGAAGGAATTCGCTTGTGCCTGGGAAAGCATGTGACTTCTTGTTTAAAGCAACCTCCTCTGCTTGGAGGATCATGGGACTTAGTACCTATGGTTATAAGTACCTTGATCGGAGGTATAAGTAATTTTTACGTAGAGTTACCCAAATAATAAACGTAGTTGCTACGTGCCATGATCCTTTCAGTGCAAGAACCCAGTACAGGCGACTCGACATTCAGTATAAAGGCTGGCTTCTGCAACAGGAACAAGATGTTGTTGAAAGTATCTCCAATGACCGCTCCCCGAGCTCTCACATTTATCACGTGAAACCCAAAAACCTCTCAATCTCTCAACCCCTAATCAGCCCTGAACCCCACAAAAACCTGAACCCTAGAAAGCAAAAGTCCTAAAATCTAAACCCGAGCCCGCAGTCCGCGATCTTTGCGCGACCGGCCGACTGCCAACGGCCTCGATTTCAGCAGTCCCCAAGGTTATTTACAATTAGGGCTCTGTATTAAGCAGTGAGGGAATATCCAAATTATACCATATATCGATACCTAGCATCTAGTTTATACTTCGGGCCTTACAATACTCGAGTGAGCTTCCCTTTGAAGGCCGAAATATATGCAAGCTGGAAGGTACTTGGAGGATCATGGGACTTAGTGACTATGATTATAAGTCCCTTACTTGGGGTTATAAGAACTTATAAGTACAGGTACCCCCCCCCCCCCAATAATAAGTTCCATGATCCTTTAAGTAGGGCTTTAGGTTGAGCTTCTTCAGGCAGAAAACTAACCTTCATTCTGCTGGACTGCTGAAAGTCTGGAGGTATAATCTCGGGTAGATGAGGGTTTGGGGGCCCCCAAAACAGTGTAGGTAAACATTCCATGAGGTCGTGGGTTGCAACACCTGAGAGTAGCTGTCGTTGTGGGTTTAGTAGTAGGCATCGTCACCTTCGCTGCCGCCGCGGCCGTCGTGCTGCAGCGGCAGTAGCAAAAACAAGAGCAGCATCAGCAGTGGGCAGTAGGAGCAGCAGTAGCTGGAGCAGCGCCGGTGGCAGCAGCAGCGGCAGTATTACTAGGATCAGGTCCAGGACCGAGACTAGCAGTGGCAGTAACGTTGTTATTAGTCGTAGTCAGCAGTCGTCGCAATTCCGTACCCTAAAGCCCTAAACCGCAATAAGAAAAGCCCCTAAACCTTAAAGCCCTAAACCACAATAAGAAAAACCCTAAGCCCTAAAGCCCAAAACCACAACAAGCAAAGCAATGCTGCCCTCGCCTTCGTAGCGAAAGCGGCCGTCCAAAGCATGGATCTGGGCCGCACGGCTTGACGCTACCCAGAAACTCAAACAATAAACCTCCCAGACCTTCCAAAATCCCTGAATTAGGAATATACTTTAAAGCATATTAAGGATCCTATTATAATTTAAGGTATATTCCTTAATTAAGGGATTTTGGAAGGTCTGGGCTACACTAAGGAGCACATCCCTCCTGAACCCTGCGGAACCTACATTTTTAGGGCTTCTTATTATGAATTCCCTATATGAGTCCTGAAAAAGGTAGGTTATTTGGGGTTAAGGCTTACATTATTGTCGGAAGCCGAGTACGAGCAAGGCATAGCTCCATAACGAGAGTTTGGGGTCTCTGGTACCCCGGAGCCCTAACCCTAAGCCCGGAAACCCTTACGGTAAAGGACCCCTCAACCCCAAAAGGGTCCTATGTACCTGTATAGTAGAATGTAGGGTTTCTATATGACAAAATACTGTTAGGATCCAAGGAAGTATCCCCCCATAAGAGTACATAGGACGCTTTGAGAACATAAGGCTTTTTGCATCAACCCGCAGCAGTTGCAGGCTAATAACTTTGAGCAGGCAGTTGCCAAATTTGTGCATGTGGGCGCAATAAAACTAACGACAAGGAGCCCCTCATAGTCTGTGGGCCGTGGGGACCATAAGCTCCCAGGCTTATAGCGCCTTGTAGGGATGAATTAGGGAAGCCTAATCTATGCATTTGCAGGGGTTTTGGGCTACTTGGAGTGGTTCATGGGCAGTTATGCACTAGAGCAACAAATCGGGATCTCCTGGAAATCTGCATGCCAGAGTTTAGGGCTTAGGGGTTTAGGGTTATGGGTTTCGGATAATTAAAAGGCTCTCTGTCCAGACAAGACGGCAGTCATCTTGGCACATGGGTAGTTCTCGAAACTAGGGTCCGTTTGTAGGCCCCCAATATAGTACGGCAACTTTATAAAAAGGACCCTAAAAGGGATCCACATTTAGAGAAGTACCCACATGCATTTACGTACTAGGCTGAGCAGCGGTCATAGCGCCCACCCTCCATCGTGGTCCGTACAGTGGCGGGGGTTTAGAAGTAATGATATGCCTTAACCCCCGAAAACCCACCGTTCCAAGGACTTATACAAAGGACCCCAAAAGAAATAAGTTCCTTGGGTCCAAGTAAGACTTACGGGCGTCAGGATTTCAGGCTGTCGGGGCTCGGGCTTGATTTAGAGGTTGGAGTTCAGGAATCCACCCCTTAGCTAGCAGTCCAATAGGGGCTTAAAGTTTAACCCTGAGGGTCCATGTGCCCAGATAGTACTGTATACACTTCGGGCCCAATGCACCTATAAAGGGAGTACTTTAAGGCCAAAGTATATACTATGTGGGTGCAAAGACCCTTAGGGTAAGGTCTATCAGGGGATTCATGTTGAGTTCCACGATCGAAGGACTTTAGGCCTCTCATCTTCCCTCTCTTAACTTTATCAACTATCCCAGACCCTATAACCCGTCCCTTTTCGGGCTCCATATTCGGATTTCCTCATCCTATGTAGTAGTCCTTCAACATGTAGGTAACTTGGGGTCCAGGAAAACCCACAACCCTAAACCCCTAAAACCCTAAACCCCTAAAGCCCTAAGCCCTAAACCCTAAACCCTGAACCCTAAAAACCCTAAGCCCCTTAGCCCCAAACCCGTCGCGCGCAGGCCTCCGGTGGCAAAACCTCCTGGCGCAGCCACAGCCCTAGCGCCACAGCGACCCCGAGGACCTGCAGGACGAGCAACCGTGCCCTACCTGTACCCAGAGGCTCCATAGTAGTTCCTTTTTGGGGTTCATATATAGAATCCAATAAGGTAATCCCAAAAAGGAACTACTATGGGCCTCTGGGTAGCCGAAAAAACCTACCTTTTTAAGGTAGTTTACGTATAGAAACCATAAAAAAGGAACCCTAAAAGCAGGACCCAGAGACTCCAATATCCCTCAAATAAGGAATATTCCTTAAACTATAATAGGATCCCCAATATGATTTAAGGAATATTCCTGAATTAAGGGATATTGGAGTCTCTAGGCACGAGCAACTGTGCCCTAGGGCTCCAGTTACCAAAATGATCCCTGAGGGTCCAAGTACTCCCTATTATAGGACTTTACGGCCCTATTCGGCACCAGAAACCATAACTAGGGACTACTTGGACCCTTAGGATATGGCTCCAGTTACCTAGTGATGGGTTGCTGGGTTATATACTATATGGCTAGTAACCTACCATTCGAGCAACCGGAGCCCGAGGGATTGGATTTGGGGTCAGGGTTCGGGGGCTCAGGTCTTACAGCTGTTGGTGTAGGGCTTTTGCGCGTTTTGGGGCTGAGGGAGGTGTTAGGGCTACCAAAAGCCTTGAGGTTTGGGGTCTTTGGTGTTTCTAGCGTTGGGTTTCAGGATTCGGCGCTTAGGGCATTCTAATGAGGTGATAAAGAGTGTAATGGCGTGATAGGTCGGAAATTGCTTGTTACGGCAACCATAGCCATGCCAATCCAGGAATGGTCTTTGTTGATGAACAGTATAAAACCGCTAGCATCCGCATCTTCGTGCCATGACCATCTGACGCCTTTGTTGGCAATCCTTGCACATGTCGTCATTACCCTCAACATCCCTACCAGCATCGAGCAGCACCATCCGAGCATCGGAGTCTTTCCTTATTTTCCCAACCACCATCGCAGCCACCTTCATTATCCCTAAGGCTCCATGTACGCATGTAGTATATATTTAGGCCTTAAAGTACCCATATAGGGACCCCTTTAAGGCTTAAGTATCTACTATCAAGGTACATGGAGCCTTTGGGTATCGCCTCGAACCAGTCCACGACCCCTACAAAGACCAAAGGGAGTTGTAGAAAAGACGGGTAGAAACATCGTTATAGCTGATCGTCGTTATCGTGTGTTGATGTTTTTGGTCATGTTTACCATACAAAAGCAACCCAAACCGAGCAAGGACATGCCAACACCAAGCCCAAAGGCGCGGTGTACTTATGCAATCCCACATGGCGATGGGCAAGCATGCCATTATCGCGAGTAGCCCCAAAACAAATCGAAGTAGGTAATAACAGGTCCGTAGTTGTTAGAACAAGATTTTCGGGGTACATCATGGTATGATATATTACATAGCTTGCAATTTGCGCTATTTCCGCCGACTGCCATCATCATTAGGACGACGACTAGTGGCAGTGGCTGTCACGGAAGCTTGCGGCGTGCCCAGAATCCCGAAGCCACGCTATCTATGTATATATATATATAAATAAATAAATAAATAAATAAATGTATATAGACATATATATATATACATATATATATATATACACATAGATGTACACATATGTGTACATGCAGACATGTGTATTTCTTCATGCGTTTAAAAGTTTGTAGACATAACTTTCGGAGAAGCAGCACAGACTGTTCCAAAACGGGTGATGTGAGGTGCCGGGGGAACCCAGAACCCCAAACCCCTAGACTCCCCTTGGCTTCTGCCTCCCTGACCGGAGACTGTCCTTTCTCAGAAATCCACGTCGCAGAAATTCTACATACATGTGTATGTATGCATGTATATATACATATATATATATATACACACATTACATATATATATATATATATATATATATATATCTGTATTATACATGTATGTGTTGCTTCACGTATCGGCTTGCTTCTTCCATGGGTCTATGTGCTTACTTCTAGCATAGACGAACATTGGGGAATTGTGTCCCACAGCCATTATAAGGATGTCTTTCTGGGTGCCAGATTCCACACTGGCAATGTGCTTACCCGTCTACCTACATCTGTATAAACCTACATGCCTACCTGCGTACCTACATCCATGCATCCATGCATGCATACATCCAAGCTTAGATACAAGCTGACATACAAATACGTGTATACACACCCAACACCCTAAACCCATCTGGACCATATGTATATAATATATATATATATATATATATATGTATTTTCTCTATATGGGCCATCCCATCGTGGAAACTTCCAATAGCTGCGAGCGAGGGACCGCAAAGGCAGAAAGGCCGACGATGCCAGGCAGCCCCATCGCAACATGGTTCAGGTCCAGAAACTCCCAGGTTTAGGGTTTAGGGTTTAGGGTTTAGGGTTTAGGGTTTAGGGTTTAGGGTTTAGGGTTTAGGGTTTAGGGTTTAAGGTTTAAATCGAGGTTCAGGTATGTAGGAACCTGATTAAGGAACCTTGGGCATTGATTAGGGCTCCTTATATGAATCCTACTACTTTTCGGGATATAGGGCCAGGGTGTCCAGAAACTCTCAAATCGAGGTTCACGGTGAAACCGTCGTGTTTAGGGTTCAGGGCTTGAGGCTGAAACTTTGGTTCAGGGTTTCGTTTAGGGTGTGGGCTTTGGCTTTTGGGCCCTCGACTTGACGATGAGGGCTTGAGGGTTCAGGGTCTCAGGCTCAAGAGCTGTAGGATGTTGAATGCCCCATACAGAAACAGTCCATAATAGGGCTACCATTACGGGCCTTGAATATCTGCATTATAAGTACGGATTAGGGACGTGGGTTTGGGGGTTTGGTAGTGTCTGGAGTGCAGGGTTTAGAGATCAGCGCTAAGGGTTTGAAGAACTTGTTTGTTTAGCCAGCGTTTTGCTAGTGTTATGTCGGGAGGGTCGTGATCAGTGCAATGTGCTTTGAGCCAACGACCGTAAGGGAAGAACTGTTGCCCACCCTCCTCGAGTTTGTAAAGCCTGAAGCCGCAATGCCGGCACAACGCCGGCACATGTTCACCCAGAATACTGAAATGAACTGCCCAGAGCATCAACAGCATAAAGTTCCGGAACTGCTCCGCACAAGCGCTTGCAACCTCCTACTTCAGACTTCCATGCTGAGGTGACTTGGTCTTGCCATGGGATGTACCCATAGGCCCCCAAAGTAGTTCCTTTTTGGGATTACCTTATAGGATTCCAAATATGAAACCCCAAAAGGAACTACTTTGGGGCCTTAGGGTAGGGACGCCACGAGCGAAGTGTTGAGATTTTAGTTTTGGCCTGCAAAGCATGAACAGCGCGTTGAACAGTTCGCTTGAAATCGTCCTCTGCCGCCAAAGCCCTAAACCCTAAATCCTAAACTCCAAACCCTAAATCCGAAACCCTGAACTCTAAACCCTAAACCCTAAACTCTAAACCCCAAACCCCTTCACCCCAGTTGATTGTGAAGAGGGCTAGAAAGGCCAGCCAAACCCAGAGAATCCTTCTGGAAGCCCCAGGCCCTTGAACCAGAGTAAATGTGGTTTGGGAGCTTCCGAACATTAGTGGTACCTTATTTCGGGGTTCTTATAATAAGGGTCCTGCAATTTAGGTACTATATCAGCGTCCCCTATTTTCGGAAACCCCATTTATAAGCAAAGCTTCAAAATTTGGGGGCAGGCTCTGGGCTGTGCCTCGCTTCCACGCAGCATCCGCTCGGCCTGGTGCAATGCAAGAAGACGAGGGCTTCTGGGACATAGGTTTAAGGGTCTGGGATTTGTGGTTTAGGGCTTTGGGGTTTAGGGTTATGGGTTCTGGGTATACGATCGGGGTTGAGTTTTCGGGCTGAGGTTTAGGCGGGTTTGCAGTTAGCTGGGCCTTGGTTGCCTTAGTCTTTCGGGATTGATGGCTCTTAACTATTGTCTTCCTCCGGGTGATGGTTGTTTTGTGTGGCTTGCGGGTACCCTGTGTAGCGGGGCTGTTTCAAGTTAGGGAGGCATCTGCCCCCTCTTTGGGGTCTGGGCTTAAAGCCCTCTACCACGCATACTCAACTTAAACCCCAAACCAAAATCCCCAACCCTATTAGTAGAATCCCCAACCGCAAACTCTGCCCGAGATCCTCAATCCTCAACTCTGCTGAATCTTGAGGATGAGCTAGCGTTATGGGGTTGGGTTTAGGAGTTCTTGTTTTGTCGATTTAGGGTATAGGAAACAGGGTTTGCAGCGTTTTGGGAGTAGGGACTTTAAGACTAAATAGGGTGCGAACCTAGGGTTCAGGAATTGAAATGCGTATCAATGAATGTGGCCTCAGGAGTTTACAGATTTTAAGTGTGTGGGGTTGAGGAACTGGGCTTGGGGAATTATAGCGGCGGTAGACAGCGAACACGATCCCTCCAAAAATCTGTGAAGTTCTTCCTTCTCATGCCCATACATAACCCGGCTGTTTTCAATTGGGCATCATGCAGCACTATCAGAACGCTTCCAACATCTTGTAAATGCACCCAAGCTCCGACCGCTTTGAAATTCAATCAAGGTCGCTACTGTAGGGGCCTTAATAATTAGATAGGGTTTTTGGGCCCATCATACCTGTTTTACGAACCACGAAAACCCTTTTCAACTCATTAAGGTACATTAGCTTACGGCTTTTGGGCTCTGGCTCTCGGTTTTGGATCTGGGGAGGGGGAGCACTACTCGTCTCCTTCAGAGCATCCATGACATCAGTGACAGCTGCAGAGTAGCGGTCCTTAGCGCGGGCTTGTTTAGGGCCTCTTTGGGCGTCGGGCTGTGGATCTTGCTCTCAGTAAGCCCTGTTACATCCACACCGTACATTTCACAAATTCTGAGTGCATTAATTACAGTTCATTACATCACATTGCCTTACATGCATCCATATGTCCATACATCCATGTATCCATGATCCATACATACATGCATTCATGCGTACATGCATGCATACGTAGATCCAGAAATGCATGCATGCATACATACGTACAGACATATCAAAATACCTATCTACCTGCATACATACTTACATGAGTACCTACGCACACACATGCATGCCCCTTGCATGCATGCATACATACATACATTGTGTGAAGATACGTAGATATACGGTGTATGAGTAGTAACTATGTGGATACGGGTATATGGATATACAGAAATTTAGATACGTGTAAAGTATACGAGTAGACAGAACGATAGATAAACATACAGGGATGGATAGAGATAGGCACATAGAAAGATGCAAACACCATGAAAATCTTCAGTGAGGGGCGACTGTGGTGCTTACAGTTGATGTGCCTGTGTTTGAGAAACAACATCAATTCCATGGATCAAATCTTGCGACCCCTACAGTAACAAGCCCCAGGAGCGTGTTTCACGCTTCCCCCTCACGCTTCCGCTTCCCGAGGTACCCCCGGACGCAGTCGAGTGCCAAACTAGAAAGCTGGCCACATTGCTAGCCGCGGCCGGCTCTTGTTGATCGCCCTGCCGGCAGCCGAAAATGCGCGTTCAAGAGCGGCAGGCGAGGCCGGCCTCCTCATTTTCATCTCCATCTCCACCTCCACCCTCCTCGGGCGGATTCATGGGCACAGCAGCCGCCTGAAGGGCGTCGCCAGGACCCACCTGTCCACCGGTGCGATGTGTGGGAACATCGACTGGCTCCGGTGCCACCACGGCAATGCCAACAATGTCAACCGTGATTCCCATTATACATTATAGAAACCCTATACTTGGAGGGGCAGGAGATTTAGTAATTAGGTTATAAGTTATACGTAGACAGAGTTATAAGTACCAGAAATGGAGTTACCCCGATTATAACCCTACTTAAAATACCTACTTACTAAGTCCCCTGCCCCTCCAAGTACATTCTACCATGCCACTTCGGACCCTTTGAGAAGGAAACTTACAGCAAATCCTAAAAAAATGGAAAACTAAATTAAGGACAAATAGTGCTGGGATTCCGTATACTTGAGTTTAGGATTTAGGGTTTAGGCTTCGGGAAACCCTAACCTTAAGCCCTGAACCCCAAAGCGTGTCGGGCCGTGTGGGGGTTTCCAACCTTTTGGGTTGTACTGCAGGCTGTGTATGGTGTAGTCCGGATCAAAGGTTCGGCAACGGTCCCGAGTGCTGAGCAGCGAAACTGAGGGCAAGTTTAGGCCAGAGAGTTTCGGGTTTAGGATCGTTTTTTGGTTTAGGGTTGTTTAGGCTCTGGGGTTTAGGGTTGTTGGAGAAGTCTTTTGCTGTCTTTGGGGATTTGATTTTAGGGCTGAGGGTCACCCCCGAGCCCTTCTCCCCAATTCCCCCTCAAGTGCACCAAAACCCTCCTTGTACCATCGCTTAGGGGTAGATGGTCCCTAATACTAGGTAGTTGGCGCCGAATTGAGGACAGGATAGAAGGAGGGCCTGGGCATATTACATCCCTTCGCCCTTCACTTCCCAACACCCAAACCTCTTAGGTTTCTGGCCGAGCCGTGAAGCACCGAGTTAGCTACAAGCAGAATTAGTTGGGATTAGTAACGAGCCGCAAGCACAAATGTATTGTTTTCTGGCCGTTGAGGCAGGTATGTGCAGCTGCAACCATAAACCCCTAAAGTGCAGATCAGTAGGCACAAACCTTCGATCAGACCACAACAAAGCCCTAGCCTAAACCCGCAAGCCCCGAAACCGAAAACCCTAAACACTACGACCCGAAAGCACTCCAACCCTGAACCCTGAAGCCCCAAAACCCGAAACCCCTACAATCCTTCTTTTCTAAAACCCTAAACTTGTCGTCGATTTCAACGGTTCCCAACACTATTCATACTCAGGGCTATACTTGAACAAGTAAGGGGAATTAAGCATGATCCCAAGTCGATACCTGGTAACCTCTGAAGCTCCGAAATGCTCAAGCACTTCCCCCTAAAGCCCCAAGCCGAAAACCCTACTGTAAAGTTCGAAAAAGCCCTAAAGAACCAAACCCTCAAGCCCACAAACCAGACAAATCTGCAAAACCCTAAAACCCTGAACCCTAAACCCCAGCCCCTAAACCCTAAAACCCTAAACCCTAAACCCTAGCCCCTAAACCCTAAAACCCTAAACCCTAAACCCCAAGCCCCTAAACCCTAAAGCCCAAAACCCCTGAAGCTCCAAAGCCCGAGACAATGAGGCCAAGACGACATCTGACTTCCGAAGGTCCCGTTCGGTCTCGAGGGCACTGACCTTCGGGCGGAATTAGGGACATTAGGGCTCATACCGTTTAAGGTTTAGGATTTGTTACGGCGAAAAGGGACTATGGGAGCTTATTAATTACACTAGAGTTTTGGGGTATATTATGCTATAGCTATAATGAAGAACCTCCA